AAGATTTCCGCACTGCCAAACTGTAATACGTCATGTATTTTCGTATCGGTACTAGTAGTGGAAGTAGATCTTAACCTCCCTAATTCATATTAACGCTTCCGACATGAAAGATCAAATGGGGTTATGCAATAGCCAAGGTCAGTATAACAGCGAGGAAAGCGATTTATATAGTGACGTCCGGTCATGACGTCGGCAAACCACGTGACCGAAGAGCCTGCAGAGGACATTAACAACGCATCTGCGAACGAGCGATAACGTCGACAGCAGCAGCTTGTGACATTAGTAAAATGCTATTAGTAATTTTTTTTTCCTTTGCTTACTCCTGTCAGGTTCGTTTTTCTTTTCCACCAACAAAGTTGGTGAAGGGTTAGCTTTCGGCAGGGGGGCGTTCCAAGCCACCCCTTTGCGACCGACAGAGCTAACACCAGACCATGCAATCAGGTAGTAAGGTGTTATTAGGATGAATTTCACCTAATTGCTGTTGAGCTTCAGCGAGGCAGCACACTATTTTTTACGTTACAAGAAGTTCTGAGCCCTCCCTTGCCCAGTCATCTGCCCAAGCTATGTAAAGTCGACAAAATCTCGATTCATCGAATCTTGCGATATTTGCTGTGTATTTTGTGATATTTGCGATGAATAATTTGATACTCTAAAACCTATCAAAGCACATTTTGACAGGGCACATGCTTTGCCAAAGACCTGCAAGAAATTTGCACTCTACCTAAATTTCGGTCTTAAACATGCATCTGCAAAGTTTCGGAGCTGTCTAACATGGCGAATCCAAAGTGACATTTCTGCAAGAAGCAAAGCCTCTATCGCTACCTACTATTAATCTTAGCATTTATAAACTGTTATTTGCCCAAATATGGAGCATTATCATTGTAAATAAACTATAATTTACTTTCAATTACTCTTATCTCTGTCTTGCTGTACACTAGTTATGACTTTAAGACCCCGTTTACACTAGAACGAAAGTTTCCGGATTTGTAAAATTATCCGGATTCATTGTTACACACAGGTATCGGATTCGTCAGGTGTTTACACTACAATTTAGTTGTCTCTGTATGCGGATTTGTCCGTCTACACTCACATGCTTGTTCTTGGAGAATTGTTTGGTCGTCATAATTATTGGATTTCTTCGGATTCGTCGTGCAAAGCGTTTACACAAGAAAATTTTCCGGATTCAAATGTTTCTGGATACGAAGTTTTCACAAACTTTTACGAATTCAAAGTTTCCGGATGCGGCTTAAAACCGAGTACATTTTCTATCGGATTCGTTGCTGCGTGTGTAAACAGCAACATGAATCCGGTACTAAAACATTCCGCTTTCGTGATGAATCCGAAAACTTTGGTTCTAGTGTAAACGGGGTCTAAAGAGGCGAATTCAAGTTTCATACCAGCGAAAATATTTTAATTTCATAGTACGCATAAATTATATACCTTTTTTACAAATGTATATATTGTTACATTAAAGGGAGAAAAATTTATCTAAAAGCTGTGAACGGACACTTAGTTCTAGAGTCTAGACTGCACCAGTACAATTATGTTCACCTCATTAATGTCACACTTTTGCCCTGATCTCCCAGAAATTTCTGAATAAAACTGTGATCTCTAAAATTCATCTAACTTTTAAGTAAAGATTTGTAATTCAGTTCTGCGGCCGCAATTCTTCCTTCTGATATGAACTTTTTGTAACTAATTTTGTTTGGGTTTTGTCCTAGCAATCTAGGGTCGAGTTAAGGATCGTGGATCGTTGCTCGGGTCATGCAGCGATTCCCCCCAGCGAGGACGGGCTCTGAGATAATCCAAACTAGAAGCCAGAAATTCTGGTTTGTTCATTTATGTCTTGTATTAAAACATTCACGGTGCGAACGACCAAACATTATCTATTCTGATTTTGTCTAACCCAGAACTTTGTTTCATCGCCAGAGGAATTCGCGAGCTCGAGGAACGAGTTTGGAATGACAAACGAAAAAAGAAAATGAACTAGTAGCTTGTGATTAATTCGAATTCAGCAGTAAAATCATTTTCTTACATTTAGATTGTTTTAAAACGTTCCTGATCAATCTATTCATTTGGCACGATGGAAGAATTGTATGACGTAATTATTGTTGGAGGAGGACCAATGGGTCTCGCCGCCGCTTACGAATGTAGTGTTAAAGAAGGAAAGAAAGTTCTTCTCCTCGAGCAGTTTAACAATTTTGCCAACGTTCACGGTTCAAGTCCTGGATACAGTCGACAATACCGCATAGCATATTCCGAAATGAATTTGTGCGATCTTGCCCTAAAGACCTACGATATGTGGATGAAGCTCCAAAAAGAGATGAACGACGAAAGTCTTCTTCAAGTAACAGGTTGTCTCTGGTTCGGTGATTCCACTGTTGAGAGCGGCGAGGGAAACATTGACCAAGCAATTAAAAACCTCAAGAAACTTGGCCAAGAGGAGGGGAAGGATTATATAGTTCTTGAAGGAAAGGAGGAAGTTATGAATGATCCTAGGTTCACATTTGTCTCGAGCGCTGTGGCTGACATCGAAAACGCGAAAGCTCTCTTTACGGGGAAAGGTGGAACTGTAAATGTCCCCAGCGTGGTTCAACGTTATGTTGAGAAATTAACAGCAAGTACGAAAGCAACGTTGAAACTCAATGCGCGTGTAATTAAGATCGATCATTCCTTGGAGGATAGTGTTAAAGTTACAGCACTGGTTGATGGAAATGAGAAAACCTACAAGGGTACAAAGATCATCCTCACCCCAGGCGCGTATGTGAACGAAGCCTTGGACGCTCTATCTCCCTGCTTCAATCAACGTATCAACCTGATCATCTACCTCTGGTGTTCCACTTATTACACAAAGAAGAGAAAAAGTGCATCAAACACCGATCCAGCTCAATGGCCTATTTGGTATTTCTTTGGACCTAAACCAAAAGATGACGGTAGCGATGCCCCGAAAGATTACAACGATTATTACGGATTCCCAAGCGAGCCTGGTAGTCAGGAATACTTACGAGTTGCACCTGCGTATACCTCACGCGAAGAATTCGACTTCTTGTTCTTTCCTCCCGATGTGAACCAACGACCAGTCGATGTGGACGCACTGAAATTTACAACCGATTTCGTGGAAAAGTCCATGCCTGATCTGACCCCGTCTAGCAATGCGGACAAAGAAACAACGTGTATCGCTGGTTTTGCGCAATTGAATAATGATGTTTCAGGACCCGACCAAGGTGCTGGATTCGTTTTGGATTTTCTGCCCAAGTCAAAGCGTATCGTCGTGTTCACAGGTGGTTGGGCAATGAAATTTGTTCCAATGATTGGAAAGATACTCGCTGATCTGGCAATTCGAGGAAAGACAGAATACCAAGATCTCATCGACCCAATGAATATTAACCGCGGAATATTGGTCGATGTTAGTGAATGCCAAGGCAAAAGTTTGATGGTATCCAAAATGCCCGTTACTCACAAATGGGAAACATTTCGAAAAATTTGGTGTTGAAATTAACTTTATACTTTAGACTTTTTTCAACCCCAAAACTCCTGGTTAATAACGTCTTTGCATGTGCCATAGAAAATAGGTATCAAATGTAGTTGTGTTTGAAACCACTGTTGTTAATATAATTTTGACATCAACTGGTAAAGGGTTATTGTCGATGAACATTCAAACATTTTGATTGCTCAAGTGACTGCGTGTATGTAAACTATTAGATGTGAAATACTGTTAGGTGAAACATATTCAGATTAATAAGCTTTATCGTACTATTATGTTATAAATGTAGCATGACATTAGGGTGTTATGACTGTTTGTACACAGATTTGAAAAAAATGGGTTCGTTTATTTCAGTTGTTCTAATATTAATATTCGCTAATTATCATTATTATAGACCTAGAGTGAGGGGGATTCGGCGACGGTTATATTTTCCGAGGGATTTATAATTATATTATACAAGAATAAGGTTATATAATAAGGTTACGAGAATACGGTCACTACAGATTCACGCAGGTATAAGAATAGTTGTCGCGTTGATTTTAACTGTTTCGGCGATGACGTTTCTAGGCGGATTTTGACACGTTGCTAGGGAGTGGTCTCAATGTTTATGTTCAAAATTCAAACGTTGCTGACAAAGCTGTCAACGCCCGTCATCGCGAACCGGTTAAAACTAACGCGACAACTATTTTTATTTAACGGTCTACCTGAATCTGCAGTAATATTCTCGTCAGAATCGTTAATCTCTTGACTTCGAACAAACAACAACATTATTCCCGGCATTATTTTCAGTGGGTGCGTATAGTCCTCGCGATCAAAATATGATCTGATCTGAAATTCGTAAATCCTATCTGCCATAATATTCATTAGCAACAACAAACCATCTACTTCAACTCCAATGTTTTCCATCGCATTAATGGCAAGAGTGTTCTGTTCCTTGCTGGTACTGTGTCTCGCAGTATTCAAATAGCGTTTTCTGTTCTTTGTGTTCAATATAGGCCATTTTGGTGCCTGCAGATTTTGCCAAACAATTAACAGACTTTCGGAGAATCAAGATTTGAATACTTCAAGTTATTCCAGCACGTAAACAGCATTCCCCTTACCACAATCCATGAAGTCGTGATGTATGGAAATATCTTGATTTAAGTTTGCTGTGTTAAAAGTCAGTGTTTTTATTCAACAGCCTGTGTTTTTATATATATTTTTGTCAACCTACATATACTCTGCTTTTACAGCGAACATCAGGGGGCCGGGGAGTGTGGGCCATGTAATCGATCATTGAATAAGTAGCCTTATATGGTCACCATGCACACACGTGTGAGCGTATAGTTTATTTGTTGAAAGGAAAACAAATCTGATGAAAGGTTCAAATTAAATGAAAGTAAAAAAACTACCTGATTCTGTTAAACCATTTTGAAACTATGATGCAGATGAAGGTGTTAGACGCGTGTAAAGGTGTGAAGGCACAAATCTCCAATGTGGCTTTATGCATCTGTTTTAGAAACCTTTTATTCCAATTATTGTTTTAAGTTTTACTGTCTACTTTTTATACATAGAAAGATCAAGCAATCAAAATTTATATAATTAGCCCAAAAAATAAACAAATATCATGATATTATGCTATGCAGTTTTTCTACTTGGATTTTTAGCAAAATGCGATTAAATGTAATCTTTCCCATCTCATTTAACTCTCTTCATGTGACGTGCGTAAACTTGATACGCGGATTTAAAACCACTTTCCAAAGCTCCTTGAATCCAGCCAGCGGTAAATGATATGTTATCGCCAGCAAAATGCACATTACCCATTGGCTCCCACAAATATCTGTAGGTTATACAAAGAAAAGAGATATATCGGAGAATGTTGTTTAACGCGTTAGAGTTTTACCATGGGTCTGTATTGGGGAGAATCCATAGTGCGATTAATAAGTACAATACATAATCATTTGTCGGCCATACAGAGTGATTCTTAAAAGTAAAAACGGGCACAGAATCAAGTACTATAATATTATGATTGCAACGCACCTGATATTGCTGTATTGAGTGGTCTTCAAGAGTCCATAGGCACCTTGATAAGAGGGTTGGTTGTACCAAGCATGGACAATACATTTTTCAACTGCCCCTTCTTCTTTGATCTCAGGATGAATTTCTCCAACTTGCTCAATAGCCTCCTTCTTTGCCTGATCTTTTGTCAAGGAACCAAAAAGCAATGCTTCATTTTTCCAGGTGTAAATCAGAATTATTCCTTGCTTGGTGGACGCGAGATAGTCCGGATCGGGTTTCACGTAATGTATTTGACCGATGGGTAGGTTGGTCTTAGAAAAGCCGCCTTTGATGCCGTACTTCTCCTCTTCCCAGAATCTGGTCTTGGTTTGCAGGATAATCTTTGTGGCTGGTCCTGTGAACATGTCTTCAATGGCTTGAAGATTCTTTCTGAGGGCCTCCCTGTCTTCCTGGTTTGGTTCAATTGGCTCAAACGTAATTTGCCGCAGTATGTTGACTTGAGTGGTAACGATTACGGCCTATATCAAAGTTTAAACAAATGATTACTGCTGAAGTTTTTTAGGGAATGCTCACATTTTTATTTACATGAAGCGCATTGATAACTCAAAATTTCAGAGAGAAGTTGGACTGATATTGTAGAATGATTTAGCCTAACAAGTGATCAAAACTAGATGAAATAAAAGCTAGATGAAATGACAGCGATGAAAGGTGATAGATTTTTTCGGCAGATTCATATGGTTTACTTCAATGTACTGCAAGACATGTTAATTATATTCTGAAAAATATTCACTCAGTAAGCGTTAAAAAAGGTAGCAAGGAAAAAAGTTTTATGAAAATCTTAATCCATGAACCGAGTGGCATACCCAGCCAGACGGTTTGGTTCCGCTATGTAAACATTTTGGTGTTCAATGAATTTAAAAAGAGATGAATAATTATGATACCATAGCTCTAATTTTCATAGGACTATTGCATGGGCTGTGAGGCTGAATACGCCACTGAATAAACTTACCCGCGCTATGTAATCAGTTTCTTCTTCTGATGGATTTGCATAACAGGAAACAATGACATAATCGTCGTTAGGCTGACAGGGTGAGGAATAATAACGAATCTTGTAAACTTGTTTCTTCATTTCGATATCGTCAGAAACCAAGGGATCTTTTTCACACGTGAAGAAAGCTTCTGGTAAACTGTGCATGCCACCCACTATGGTATGCATATCTCGTGACCACCAGTTTCCCAGCTGATCGCGAAGATACTGGACCAATGACTGATCCAGCTGTTCTGTGTAAGAATATACAGAGTATCCACGCAGTGCATCGTTGGACCAGGGCAAAAGTTTGCCAAGCATCGTGACATCTAAGCAATCTTGATCATCTTTTGTTAATTTTGCACAAATAACATCTTTATTGCTCTCCAGAAAGCTTTCCAATGTAAACTGGCTCCAAATATTGATCCAGCGTTCCCACACATTGATTTCGTCTTCAATGGTGGTCGTATTTTTCAACCAAGCAATCAATTGATCCGTGACAACCTTGGTTGTTTTTGTGTAATAATCATCTAAAAATATTTCAGAATCAGGAAAAGTATTAAATGACTACGATTATAATGCGAAAGATTCAACAGTTCTAGAATCCTTCGATATTGTCCTTTTTAAAATAATTCAGAAAACTATATATAAAGTTTTTCATATCTTGCTTAGCTCTTGAAATATCTAGACTGGAATTAACAAATCGTAATAAAAGTGGAAGTACAAACTCGCAAGCTAAAGTAAAAATCATGTCCGTAGGCAAACAAACGGTTTGTTTAGATTTTAAACTTCTAATCTTTTTGAAACACGATGCGCCGTCTAAATATGATATATAGAGACTGTTATGTTCAGAAGCAGTCCAATTGACAAGAGTGGCATACACACTCGCCGAGGAGAACGCCGGAACAGGCGTGTTTTTAAGCATGCTCCCCACACTATTAACTTCTGACGCACTTCTGTGTATAAAAGTTGTTCATTTCCTTATTTTGTAGGATAGGATCTCGAAACTCGGAAAACATTGCCCCAATAATGGAGATGAAGAAAAAGTAAACATTTTCCTTCAGTACATTTTTTTTTAGAGAAAGTTGCAGGATAGGTTTTTTTAACATTCGCAATTTTTTTGTTCTTAAAAGACAGTTTCTTTCTTTCTAACATCATAACAACTGTTTAAAAATCAAGATGCAGGAAATCGGACATTTTCTCACCGATATTTAACTAAAAAACCAAGCAGTTTGTTGTCAAGTCGCGAATCGTCTAAAAAACTGAACTAACTGAAGAGAGCCACCTTACAAGAATGAGATCAGTATGTATGTAATGCAGTACCTATATCCTTAACATCGATGCCACTAATCCCTTTCTTCCAATCTGGCCAAACGATTGCAAAATTTTTCTCTCCCCAAACTAAGCAAGAAAGTCAACAGTATCAGTCATGCGTATAGTTTATCGTTTGAAAGGTGAATCATATTGGATTAACTGATAGATTAGCTATTAAGTCTAATTTTATTAATAAACGAATAATGATACAATTTTTTAATTATCTCTGTTTTCCTTACTAAATCCCAGTGAAATTTTAAACTTTTTTAGCCACATGTGAATTGAGCTCATTAAAATATGTAGCTTAGTTTGTCTAAGACAATAATAATACAACAGGGGCCGGTTGTTAACCACCAGGGTTAAAGCAAATCTTTATATGAATTTTTCTAATCACTTGTTCACAAAGTTGAATATCTTTTTTCATCAATATTTTCTGGACTGATATAGAAGTCATATTTTCTAAAGTTTTACAAAGACTGGTTTAGAAGCACATTAACTAAAACACTGGATTAAAATTTAACCCAGGGTTAGCTCCAACATACATAGCTTTGAACAATTGAGTTTTAGGGTTTTTTGTTCCAAGAGCTCAAACGAACCCAGGAAACGTTACGTATCACCACTGATGACCTCATCTTTTTCCCTCAAAATGGTTGCTGGAGAGAATTTAAACGAAATATGGTAGCCGAAATTAGAAAAACCAAGGAAGCGGAAAATTTGACACACCGTTGAATATCTATTTAGTTACGATAACATAAAAGTTTATAATATAGTATGAACATTTCTTATAAGATCTAATTTCACATACGATTCGATTTCTCCTTCACTCCGTAAATATAGGAAAGGCCATTTTCATCGTAATTTGGAAATGCTTTGGTCTTCAAGTTAAATTTCCTTATATACCCATCGGTCAGAAAATGCGTTTTAGTGGCGGATGAGCCAACACCATCAGGCAATCTCATCGCTCCGCCTAAAAATGCAGAGATATTTCATATTTTATATTGCTGTAGATATTGCAATGTGTACGTAAGGTAAACGTTAATTGACATTAGGCGCGTTAAGTGCGAAAGCTTGATAGCGCTATCCAGCGGATAGTTGTTTTATCAATCCCTCTAAAATCGCCTGTACGTTATTCGATAAAACATTTAAAACAGTTAAAAAAATCACTATCAAGTGGGTAGTGCCATCCAGACTTCGTACAACCAGGGACCGGATGTTTAGCTTAACCCTGGATTAAAGCAAATCTTTAAAACAATATTTTATATCGCTTGTCAAAGTTGAATATTTTTTTTCATAAATATTTTCTAGATCGTCAAAAGCCATATTTTTTACAGGTTGTAAAACGAGCAGCGGTTCAGGAGCACTTAAAACTAAACTCTTGGTTAGCGCTATATAACCCAGCTTTGAAGAACTGGCCCCAGGGCCCAGTTGTTCAAATCTAGTTAGCGCTAACTTTGGGTTAAATTTTAATCCGCTGTTTTAGTTTACGTGCTTCTGCCCCGCCGCTTGTCTCAAAAGTTTACAAATATAAATATTATTTCTATTGACCCAAAAAATACTTATGTTCAAAATATTCAACTTTTATTAACAAGCGCGATGATAAAAATTGATGCAAAAATTTGCGTTAACACTGGGTTAAGTTCAGCTGCTTTTCATCAACCGGCACCAGATGGCTCAAATCATTGCTGTTATTATAGGAATTAAGCTAGAGGGCCTGTGAAACCTCGTGGTGTCTTCGGCAACTTACTGTAGCCTATAGACTAGCAAGGAAGGGAGACAAAACTGTGCATGTGTTTAGAAATGCCACGTGTATGGTAATACTAAGAAAATGGGTGCAAATATACGGCGATCGTATATTTTGCTTTCCTTAGGCATACCTTCGCCAAATAGACCAGGTGCAAGGCCTGCATCTTCCCCATAAGTGAAAACTCTTCCACCATAACGATCAGTCTGCTCCAGAATTTTCACCTTTAGACCTACCCTTTTCAGCTCATACGCTGCGGCAAGACCAGCCATACCAGCTCCAACAATAATCACATCATATTCAACACACCGAGGTGGGCTCGATGCAACTTTTACTGGATGAGGAGGGCGAGGCGGGTTGTCGCCATACTCCAAATAGGCCGCGTTCAAATCTTCCTTTTGGATTTTCAGCATGAACTTTTTTAAATAATCACTCTGTTGAATGATTGGCGGGTCTTGATCTTTTATTCTTTCCTTGAATGGTTTCACTCCTTTCAAAAGGTGAGTATGGCTAAAAAGAAAGGCTGATGCCATGGCACTAGAAAAAATAGAGAAAAGACTCCTTATAGATACCTAATGTTACGAAGAATTTATTCATTTAAAGCCTTAATCTCTAATAAATAACAATTATTAAGGCAGACACGTACTATAGACAATCGTCCGTTCAAAAATATATGCAATTATAGTGATTAGTGAAATGGTAATAAATCAGTCTTGTTTGGTTACAGTATGTCTTAATTGTTTATTTAAATTTGCTAACTTAATTACTTTATTAAGCTCCATTCGCATTTTTAAGATCCCGTATCGCGTATACAGGGTTTTTAAAAAACAAACCAATCATTTGATACTCATCATAATAATGCAGTAGTGGAATCAATCATGGTAATAAATCAGTCTTGTTTGGTTGTGACTTATTTGTATATTTGAATTTATTAACTTAATCTTTCTTAACTTAGTTTTAATCTATTAAGCTCCATTCGCAATGTTAAATCCGGTATGGCATTTTAAAAAAAGGCAGATTTGGTCCTTGACAGATTTATGAATAAATATTTGGTGCAAAATAAAATTTTTCGATAATGAACTGAGCTTTCATCGAGATTTAATCTTCTACTATTTTTTCATCAAGTTCACAAGTAAAATTCTGAAAAAAATGATTTTTGTCATGAAAACGACACTCGTTTGGCGTGTTGAGGACAGATTAGCTTTTTTAAGTATGATTCTTCAATTGCAAAAACACACTTGACCTGCACACTCTAAACTTTATATTCTGAGAATTGAACTGTGGCCAAACATTTCTGCACGTATACTCATGTCTATTATTTTAGGCTGTTTTGAACGATTGATCACGCGTTGTGTGCATGGCCTTAGTATAATTATGAAGATAGTTATCTGCTGCACATATCAAAACACTGGCTTCCGTTAAATTCCGCAGAACTAAGTCTGTCATTGTCAATTGCGGGATATATAAACAGTGATTCTAGTTGATGCGAGTTGCAAACTCGTGTTATTTATTCACCAATGCTTGGTTTCTTTTGAGTCGTGAGTGTCGTAAACAAGTAAAGTTGTATGGATGATGTGATGGAATATTACTATGTGCGATTTGAATACAGAAATAAATTCACATTCGCACTATTTCTTATCGGTGTAAAAAACTTGTTTACGACAATTACGACTAAATGCGAACCAGGCTTTAAGCAAGTCACACATTACGCGAAAATAGCGCAGCGCTACTGATTTCCTCGCGAAGACTTCGCCGGGTGTGCGGAGTCTATTTTCGAGCACAAAAGCTCCTGCAGCAAAAGCGCTCAATATCAAACATGTTTGATATTTTTTTTCGCCGCGCGCTTTTCATACGAAGAATCTTCGCGGCGGAATTAGCGCTGCGCTGTATACAACTAGCTGATGCTCTTACTTAGACTGAGATGCTTTCTATATTATTTCAGTTTTTCTTTACCTTTTTGTTTGTCTTTACTCTCGTGGAATTACAAAATCACGCTGTAGCTTTTGATGGGCTGGGAATTCTTCTTCAGTTATAAGTCCTGCTAGCCGAACTGTTTAATTTTTATCAAATCACATACACACGTTTTCGAGATCCAATTTCGCTGGCAATCAGGGATGATAACGTCGCATGTTAGATGGTGTCATATTTCGTAAACATCATCCTTGTAAAGCCACTATAACATTCATTAATTGTGTAGGAGGACAAAACTAATGAAATGATCCTCTATTGTGATCAACCGTAACTTCTGTCTAGCATGCAGGAGAGAAATATGTTATTATTAAGTTAGCTTTTTTATCGAGCTTGAGTTTGGTATTTCTTTTGAAATGGGGCTTGTGAATTGGTTGTATGATTTTCCTAAAATAGCGTTCTCCATGAGGTTGGATTACATTTTTTACACTGGATTTACAGTCGACTAAAGCACACATGACCACAAAATAACGAATGACAGAATGGCCACTCAGGGGTACAACATGTGCACCCCCCTGGCATGATCCGCCATAGTTGATGCCACGCACAGAATAACGAAGGATTTCTGTTCAACATTTTATTTCAAACAGAAGAAAATCACTGAACTTATTTACACACATCACTCATCAGGTATTCGATAGGACAGGCTTCGGGGCCTAATACTAATAGTCGCACAATAAAAATATTATATATAAATACGAATTGTATACTGATGTATATCGGTAAAATAATAAACGTATCGGTAGGCATTACACCTTTACTCACGTCAATAAAGTTGTTGGCATCTTGTTATCTTTATTTGTAAAAAATAACAATTTTCCTCGCTCATGAATTATGCTTCACATACTTCGGTCGATACGGGAAAACAAATGGTATGGCTTGCCAATCCTCAGCTCTTGCTTACGAATAAACGCTCCGAACTAGAAATAAGAAAAGAAAAAAGATGCGCATCCCGTCACATGATAACCAATTTTCCAATAAAACCGCCGAGCCCCGTGTTTGAACGTACTACCAACAAACAGAGAAGATAAGAAGGATCGGGAAACCAAACTCTAGAAGTTCAGGGTGGGCCCATAATATTATATTTCTCCCTCCGTTTGCTTGCATAATCATAACAGGCCTCCTAAGTTCCAAGCCTTTGGCTTTGTGTAATTTGAATTACTTAACACTTATTTCCTAACGCTGAGGGAAACAGTGTGTTTTGTGCTAAATAAAAATAAACCGGAGGCCAAAGAAGAGCCAATTCCTATAAACAGTGCCTGCATAGATTAGAATATGAAATAATATAAAGTTAATTTCAAAAACAGTAGAAAAATTCTTTATTCCGAAAAATGTACATGTTCGCCACTTCCCTGTGATTTCCGAAGGGAAAGCATAGGAACGCGCATCAAATTTCATAATTTGTCCTAGGGAAAATTATGATATCTGAAGCCAGCTCGTGTTGATCAAGCCGAATCATTTAGATTTGAAGCCCTCTACGCGTGGACCTCTTGTCCAATAGGAAAGCACTAGGTATAATTATAACAATAGTATTTCTTAAAACAATGGGAAAATTTAGCAAAATCATTTTATATAATTAGACAAATTAGCACACAGTCAACCTTAAAGATGAGGTAAAGTCCGTTCTGCGCATATATTCCGCGCATCAACACATTCCATCAGTGGGGGAGCAACTTTTGGAATGTTAATGATATGCGATATTAGCGCGTTGTATTACAAACGGACAGATCGGGAGCAAAATTATTTTATTTTATGTCGCAAGGCGAAGGGGCTCGAGAAAAAAGCAATATTATGCTGAAAGGAATGCTCCAAGAATTTATTTGTTGAATGAGAACGCGAGATGGCGAGGCTATTTGTCGTCGCTACAGACGCTACCTTCTCGCTTGTCCTACCATTACAAATATATATAAAAGTTTTAAATAACGGCCGGTTTATTTACAAGCTTCGCTTTATAAAGCTTCGCTTTATATTTTCTTCAAAATATAATAATATCTTCAAAATATAATATAAAATAAGCATATTCATAATTCATCGCAGATCACAGCCGGTCGAGCGAGAAGAAAAGAAAATTAAAACGACACAATCGGACAGATACGTCATGTAAAGATTATATAACAACGTAAACAAACATTGTTATGCGCAGAATATATGCTCAGAACGGACTTTACATAATCTTTAAACTATTCTAAACTTGTATTAATAGAGTATATAGATAACAACATTTTTTAACCTTATGCAGCATTGTTGAGATTTGAGCGTTGAAAATTTTCAATATTTAAATTCACCTGCTATAGCAGGACTCTTATATAAATAATTTCAAATTATAGTTATAACGTTAGGATGGAAGCAAAATTGCAAAAAAAACACCTTCTTCCGAAATACTGGGATATATTTTATCCTCATTTTAACATATTTCGCCATTTGTCTTTCAGGTTTTGCGGAGTCCTTTGCGTAATGATTCAAAATCTTTTTCCATTGAAAGCCATATTTAGAAACGCCTTCCTTAAGGTTTTCCTCTTCTTGGACAGTGAACGGACATCGTTTCTTTGGCTTATAGCAAGTAGCCTGGAAAAGACACACAGATTTAGTAAATTCACAATGCATGTTTAGCTGTGAAAACACTCATGTACTCATGAACAACATGAGACAGTGATGAAAGATAATAAACTATTACGTCGAGAAAAAATAAAAACTACAAACGCTCTGAAAAGCACCTACAAGTCAGTTTTGCTTCTTAATCGTGTTGAAATTTCCAAATTGGATGGGAGCATAATTTATGAACACGTCTGTTCACAACAAATTAGACAAATTGCGAAAATTAAGGTAAATAATTGCATATCCTGGTTTTGCATAGCCGTGTTTTGAACAATTAACTGTCCCCAGAAATAAAACTTACCTGCATTAAACTTGTGTATTTCTGTTTCAACGTTTTTGCAGACCTTCTCGTAGTAAACTCGCAATATTTCTCAATGATACTGAATCTAGGCCCGTATTTGTCCACGCCTGTTAACGATGGACATATATACAAACCGATGGACATAAATCATTTGAAAAAACTAGGCCAATAAATTGAAAGAAGCAGCGCTAAGGGCTGTTTCCCACTGCCTGTTCATCAGCGTAAACATTGCAACGACTACCAACCTTCTTTGAGAATTTCAATTTCGCGTGCAGTAAAAGGTTTTTTGGTGGGCCTTGAATTGGGCCTCTTTTGGTGGGCCTCTTTGCTATCTAAAAAAATACATCTGCCATTGATTTCATACTCGAATACCAAATACAAATTTTTCCAAAATACAACCTATAACGTTGCTATTAAAGCATTTTGAATTTAAAATTAATTTGAATTTATTCTGCCTAACCCTAGATCTGGCACTGCGCAAAAATACCTAAACAACCATACAGTAGTGCACTCAAACGTATGCTTCCTACTCACATGTCTAACGAATAGCTGCGTCATATCCTACCTCTCTGGGGAAGCCTTCACAGCGCACGTTAACCTTTGGAGACGACACGAAGTCGAAATCTGGTGACCGTTTTTTTGTTTCTTTAAATTTTTTGTATCTTTGAAGAGCAGATACCACTTCCATAACAAACAAACGATGTTCAGTACACGTGTTGATGCTACGTCGTATACTACTGAGATAATTACGGCTGTTTACTTTAGCGAAGTCCACGCGACACCCCAGACATTTAGGAGAGATCTAAAATGAAAATAACCTTTTTTACTTCAATTCTGTAGAAACCAAAATAATAAGAACGAAAATGTACTGATCATGCGAAAAAATGGAAATGGAACTTAAAAGGTGTGAATGTATCAAAATAGGGGAATCTGTGGAATAAAAATAATTAACAATAAGATTATTAACGCCTAGAAATTATCCCTTAACGGTGATTTTCACACAAATTCGTATTCAACTCAATTTTAGAATTGCTAAAATATTATGCAGCAGAACTTTTAGAGTGTTTCTTCAAGCATTCCTTTTAAAGCACGACGTCTTTAGGTATCGCGCAAACATTTTCAAGCTTATCATCAGGGCCCAGGGGACAAGAACAAAATCAATTTCACGGGTGGCATACTTCAAGAGTTCGCTTCTTTTTCGATTTATAATGCTATCACTGGGTCTATATAATTATAGGCTTTTTAATAGCATTAAGGCCAATAAAAACATCTAAAAGAATAATTGCAACAAGAAAGTGGCATTTATTAATACCGTTAAGGAGAAGAGATCGTATCAATTCATTAAATTTACCCCTTTTGTGTTGTGTTCAAACAACAAAGGCTCCTTTCTTTTTTTCCTGGGTGGGAAAGGTGCTTTCAATATCACGTCATGTACTGGTATATCAACATCGACAGACTTATCAACTGGAGATTCAGAAGGAATTTCTTGCCCAGGGGAAGGAAAATCTTCATGATCAGATTCTGACAGTCGAAGCCGTCGTTTTGAACTTTTTCCGTTGTTTCTTTTCTCGTTGGCCCTTGTTATGAACGGCCTCTTGCTAGCTCTGCTGGTGATAATTTCTATATTTGAAATAATAATTAACAGCGTTGTTTACATTCGATGGATTGAGAGAAAAAACGATTTGGCAGTTTTTATGCTAGATTTACTAGAGAGTTAATTGGCCTTTTTTCCTTATTAGGTAAGAGCAAAGCAGGAAAATCATGGGGTTATATTTTTCCATGAAAAAATATTTTTTCTATGAAAAAAATCCGAGAAAGATTTAAACGTAGATTCTGGTGTTTGAATGATTTTATTAAGTAGCTACACTAATTTAATTTTGTACGCGTGATTGGCGCACCAAAAATAAATATATTTCCAGAACACAAAAGAACATAACATCGTTCTTGGAGGGATGTTGATAACTCACCTGTCTTCTGATTTTTAGGAGTTTCACCACAACGAATGTTTGCAACTTTTTCGCAATTGCTATCACCATTGCTGTCAACGTCTTTATTCGAAAAAATCACGCAAGAACGCGTTGTAGTTTTCATCATATCAATTAAACGATCAATTCGATTGTCACTGACAGACTTTTGTTCCTACAAGGATAATATGAAACTAAAAACCTTCAATTATCTCATGTCTAGCTACAGTTAAAAGCACACTTATCTTGTATTATACTAAGCTATAGAAACAATGCTAAATTAATCTAAAAAAGTATTGTCAAGTTAATTGCAATACTCTTCTCACCGCTGTAAATGCACATAGTTCTTTAAAAGAACGGACTTCATTCGTTAAATCCTGAATCCGGTTAACTATCATATCAGTTTGTCCAGATGGCATTATGTCTCTGTTTTCTACATTACTTTCACAACCATTACTACTCCCATTCTCTACATTTGTAACATCTACTTCACCTTCACCTTCTATATTCTGTTTTCCATCTAGCAGGAAAAAAATATTGCATGAAATGTGCCCTGGCCAACAGCTATTATACCTATTTACCACTTCGGTATTCGTACTGGCACCTTAATAACAGTTTTCCCTACATTGTCACAGGCGATTAAATACGACAGCATACTTTCCACTTGAAGTAAGTTATCTGGCGCTATCTGTATTTTTTTAAGATGTCATCCATACATTCCGGAATCGTTATTTCTGAAGAAATAAAATTAATGAGATATTTAATAATGCACCAAATCCTTCCTAAGCACAATTCCTTTAAAACTGATGTGAATAAAAAATTTTATTATCCGAAAACAGGTGCCGTTTATATGCTGTACAACGTCATTGCCCAGCATATATTTTTAGTATAATCTTACAATAATTTAGCTAGACTCTAATTCAAATAAACAATAAAAAACCCTGGAAAAATAAAAACGTTTTTCAGAAATCGATCATTTTCTGCCAGGCGCTTCCTCGCGAAATAAAACCACCCCAAGCACCACCGCGCGCTCGCCTTCTTTCAGCTGATCTCTATATAATAACTGAATGCAACGTTGTATAATTTACTATGCATGATTTTAATTAAAGTGCCTGGGTACGAGGCTGGCTTTGGCCTTCGCAGAAAACGTTTTAGTGTCAAAACAAATGTGTTTCCTTTGAAAAACTCCTTAATTCAAACATTTCAAAACCTTGTTTCGGGTGCCCGGTTCATGAAAACTTGAAAATTATTGTATAGCTTTACATCGACGCACACAAAAAATAACAAAAATAACAATTTTATCGTCTCGTGTCTTCACTCGTACCGCGTGGGGTTTCTAACAGAAGTCACTAGTGGCGGTTCAGGGTTAAGCCGGTTTTCCACTAGCGATATTTTTCGCGCAAAGCGACTTTATTCCTTTGTATTTGAGCAATTTGTTCCAGATGGCTGCAGTTGAAAGCTCTGGAAGAAAAGTAAAACGGGCTTTAGGCGGAATAAATTTCTACAGCTCAAAATCGTAATTCTATTGGTAGGTTTTTATTTAAAAATATTCTTTAGAAATGCATCACCAATATCGTTGTTGTTAAGGTATTTTGACTTTTAAATTAAACCTTTTAATTTATTCTGCCGCTACACCCGTGACTAGTGACGTCACAACAAACCTTTAAAATCAGCTGGAGATTTCAGCTGTCCTACACCTTCCCAACCGCAGAAAACATTTATCGTCATTTGGTGAATTGTGAAGCTTCAAGTTTTTAGCTCTGACTTATACGCAGGTATTTTCATAACGATATACATGATTAGAGTAGACATTATAATGCATTAGCCCAACAACAACAAAATTATGGACTATTTTCCATCTTAGCAAAAATTGTATTCTGTCTTAGACTGTGCATCACCAGATGTTTACGGCAAAAGAGCTGTGGCTTTTGTAGCTTCTACCTTAATAATTTTATATCTATTTTCAGTTTTATTTCGAGTGTAATTATTGAAAATTAAATAGAACTGTTGCATTAAGCACAGACCCCGGGCACTATAGGTAAAAATGTAGTGGGTCGGTTGTCTGTCTTGGGCATTTTCTACGATCTGTTAAACTAAAAAATAGGTTATTTTAAATTATAGCTCTGTCCACGCAATTATGAAATCAATCATTATCCGTTTGAATATTGTGATTCCGATAGTAAATAAAAGGCCTAGGTTAAACGTTGCATTTTGATCGCGTTAAATGCAATGCGAACAATAGTTGATGGGATGATAAACTCATTATCATCCATTGTTTGAATTGCATTCGACGCGACTAAAATGTGACGTTGAACTTAGGCCAAAGTGTGATATGCGAAGAAATTTTGCTCAATAATTATAATGTTAATAATATTGTCTTTCGTATTCATGGTACAGTTTCTTCTGAAGGAAGTGTTTCTTCATCTTTAAAATAATCAGTCTCATCAAGCAGTTTAACCACATTATATACACATTTGAAATGTTTTGTATAACGAATTAAGAAAGTACTTTCTGTTTGGCTTTGCTTATCTTTGCGCCCTAACCTACCTCTGTAACACTTATCTGTCATGGCTTCTTTGGCCCTTTTTACACTGCATCGGATTCGCATAGTCCCGATATCACTCAAAATTAGCCATGTCTTTGTGAGTTTTAATCCCAAAATTATGATAGCATGATTACTTTAGCAGGATATGACAAATCAAAAAAAATCTGGGTAAGGGGATGCCGTAAAACAAGTTAAACTGATGTCGTGACTATGTGAATCCGGCATAGTGTAAACGGGGTTTTGATAACAGCTGTATGTACATCAGTTAGCAGAGAGTAAAAAAATCAATTTCAAAAGAAACTAATGACGCTGAACGAGAATAATCATTTGAATATTAGCCCCCAATTCAAGTGCCGCAGACATAAAATGCGATTTTTACACCATCGAAAATACGGATGCATGGGTCCAAAAAACCAAAAAATTTTAAAGGCATTTTGAATGTTGATCTATATATTTTTGAACCCATGGCAGTCAGTAACAAAACACTGGTACTAGCAATTTTCGCGACGTCACACAAGTGCATGAGTCAGTGTGAACTCATTGTCTTATTTCCTGGGGTTCTATGCTGTTTTGTTCACAGTATTTCAAATATTTTCGACCGCAGACCCAAATTTTATCAAGATTATTTTGATTTTATGTTTTACATTGTTAAAAAAGAAAATTCCAAAGAATACGAGCCTTAATTTGAAGCGTGGTTTGAAGCGAGCATATTTTTTTTTAATAAGTGCGTCCAATATATAAGTGCGTCCAACAACTGAAAATTGTGCTCGGTTTAGCATATCGTGAAGAGCCTCTAGCTGACGAAGAATGGACAGAAATCTATGGCGAATAAAACAAACTAATATTAAACACAGAACAAACTGCATAATTGATAACGTTGAATTCCGACAAGCAAAATTTTAAGTCGATTGACGCCAGAGCATTCAAAATATAATATTATTTATCGTTAAATAATCAACAAGAATGTACGTATATAATGAACGTTTAAACTTTGTTTGCTTTTATAGTTTTAAAAACTCTGAAAAATCGCACCGCGTTGCCAAACCAGCGTCCTGTCTGTGCG